ATAGCAGGCACCCAATAAATGTTAATTACTGTTGTTAAAACAAGGGGAAAAGTATGGTAGGAAAAGGTTTTCTGTAAATTGGACACTGAGATCTAATCTATTACCTCTCTCTGCATCTACAAGTAAGCTTTCCTAGAATCTCTGTCCTTGTTTCTGTCGGAACATTCAAATTGTTTCCAGCCTAGGAGGAGAGGTGATCTACGTGTATGCTGTGCTTGTCGACTACGATGCCCCCCATTCCGCCTACCTACCTAGGGCTGCATTTGCTCTCTTCGTGTCTTAGACGGATTCCCTAAACCTGACAACCACAAGACTTGGACATATATTGAGATCACTCTGGACCCAACGACAATTCATTATAAAGACAGACATCCCTGAAAGAACAGTTGAGATGACTCCAGTTGAGATGATCTCACCAGCGTTATGCCTATGCTCGCTCCTTCCATTCTCATTAGATGAACATGACAGAGTATAACTATGGCATTTAGGTCAGATAGACTTTAGCAATAAAAGCTGATTTTAAGGAATGTGAGTAAAGTATGTAATACCTTTCCAAGTCATATGAAAGAGTAAAATCTTGTTAACTTTGTAGTGAAAAACTATCTCCTAAGCTGTCAGACAGAAGGCTCTTTTTCTCAGGAGAAGGACCATAAACACATCCTGAACTCTGCTAATTTTCACAACGTAACCAGATTACTGACCTTTACGAAAGATCATGAATACCCACTGGATGAGGAAATATCCTGAGTGGAAGGGAGACTCGAACTTCCTGAAGCCCAGCTGTTACATTAAGGGAGGATAATATTTTGACGTGCTTAACCTGCAGCCACAGGCACTGTAAGCCCTAAAACATTACTATGACTCCCTATAATAGGGTTGAAATGTACGTAGGACACTCCAACTATCCTGCGTGGTAGTCTGATGTCTCTGGATTTACACAAGCAACCACGCGGCATCTTACAATGCTGCATTAATCAAGATTCTTGGTCGTGTAATGGAAAATCCAAGTCAAATCAGTTTCAGTAAAAACAAGGAGAGGAACGTGTTGACTTGTGTGATTGGAGAGCAGAGGGACAGAGAACATGATATTCAGCATAAGTCATCAGGAGTCATGCCGCCTCCCATCCCCCCCCCATACTGTTTTTATTTCTGTGTTAGCTTCGTTCTCTCTTAAAGCACTGTGGGTGTCCCTCATGTAGCAGTGAAGAACAGCCATCATGAGAGCTACAGTTACAATCCAGCATCGTGACACAAGGCTCAATGGCAGAGCCAGCTGCCCATCCGACTTTAACATAATGACTGGCTTGGTTGGGATCACTTGCATATTACTCAAATAGTCATCACTGCCATAATACACACAATGTACGGCAAAATCCCACCTCCTGTGATCAGAAGAGTGGAGTTCTGTTACTGATGAACCCACCAGAACCACACAGAGTGGGAGCGGACGGTTCCTTTCTATGCAAAGGATGCCAAACAGTTAAAAACAAGTAAACATATGTTCACTTCAAACGTCTATATCCAAAGTAAAGTTTGATAGGAATAGCTAGAGTGACTGCCAGCGTCCATCCTTGTTTACTTCATTCTGGCCACATTGGCCTCTTGGCTCTTCTTCAAACAAGCCATACACAATCCTGCCTCTGAGTCTTTGCACTTCTACCTGGAATGCTTCCCCCAGATAATCCCATGGTTATTCCCTCATCTCCTTCAAGTCTGTGCTCAAATGTCACCTTCTCAGTGAAGACCACACTAAAATGGCAACACCCCTACATCTCTACACACACACACACACACACACACACACATCCTATCTCTCTACCCAACTTTAGCTTTCTCCCAAGCATTTATCATTACCTAATATACTCTGTATTTTATTTATCTTATTTATTGTCTCAAGACAATAACATGAGGACAGAAACTTTTTTCCATTCATTTATTCACTCATATATCTCCAGTTCCTAGTACAGTGCCTGACACGTAATCACTGCTTATTAAATACTTGATGAATGTACAAATGATGAAATCAAGCAGGGGTGCCTTATCACTCTTGGTGTTAGATCATGTACCCTACAGTAGTATACAGGGAGGACAGCACAGTACAGAGCATGAATACGGTCCTAATTTATCAACCTCCCCAGGCTACCACAGTTTAGCAAAGTATGTCCTGACATCAGTGCTGTGGAATTAAAACAAGGGTGGGTTTTGAACAGTTCTCTGGGAGGAGCCACAAGATGCCCTCAGATCACTTCAAGCCCTATCTCATATCCTTGGTATGTTTCTGCAATCTGTATGACTGAGGAGCTGCCTGGTTTCCTAATCCACACTCCCTTTCCCCACTAGGACTTAATCTTACTCTGAATCTCAGCCCCGATATCCTGCCTAGCCAGGAGACTAGATCCTGACTCGCAATCCAAAGCCGTTGGTTGGGGTACTGCTTCACCCAGACAGACCACCTGGAACCAAGATGCTGCCAACAATCAGAGTGAGAATATTGCCAGAACACAGAGAGTACTATTGCAACATCCCATCCAACAGGCAGAAGGCCCTTTGATATTGATTTGGCCTGATTTTCCTGGACTTTGACAATTCCCTGTGGACTCTATGATTTCCATTGCAGCTCTACAATGGAGTTAATTTCCCTAAGCTAATTTCTCCTGTTTCTAGCTTTTTCCCTTTCACTAGTAAACCTCACTGCTATGCATGCCTCTGCCTGCACCGGAACTTAGGTAAGGGTATGATCACATTTACCCAGGGAAAGCATAGTGTATTTTTTACTCTAAATCCTTTTTCTTACTTTTGTATGTTTTGTTTACACAGATGCTCAAAAAAATAGACTGAAGAAGAAAAAAGGATGATTAAACAAATTAAGTACATTTATTTCCAGTGGATTATTGGTTTGACCTCTCAACCTTTGGATGACAAAACAATTTATTTTGCAAAAACTGTCCTGTCAAGTGATTCAGAGCTATGTAGGATTACAAAAGGAGTACTGTGAGGTCGATTAATCCCTGAACACCTCCAAAACCACTCTAAGAACTGGCAAAAGTCCTTTATGCTCTGGCTTATTTCCAAACCTGGGACCCGAAGGTTTAGAAATGAAATGGCATATATGAGAGCATTTTCAAAGTTCAGAGTTGTCTGCAAATTGACCCATATACATATGGAAATTTGTCATTACGATACAAGTAGCATTATCAATCAGTGAAGAAAAGATGGATTATTTAATAAATATTGTCAAGACAACTAGCTAACCATTTGGAAAAAAAATAAAGCTGAATTCCTAGCGGACACCTTTCATTAAAATAAATTCCAGATGTATTAAATATTTAACTGCAAAAAAACCATTCAACCACTAGAAGAAAAGATAGGTTAATTTGTTTATAATCTCAGAAGAAATTTCTAAACATAACACAAAGCTTAGAATACATAAAAGATTGTTCAGTTTGGCTACTACAAATTAAAAATCTACACAATCAAAAATGCTATTAAAAAATCAAAAGATAAACAAGTTGGGAAAAATATTTGGAAAACATGACAGACAAGAGGTCAATGTTCTCAATAATTAAAGTTATTATAAATCAATTTTTAAAAGGTGAATAACCTAATAGAAAACATGTTTACAAAAAAAGAAATACAAATGGCTCCCCCCCAAAAAAACATCAAAATATGTTCATCCCCCCTAATAATCAGGAAAATATGAATTGAAACAAGAAATAAGATTTTTCATCTATTAGATTGGCAAGATTATACAACATGATAATAACCTAGTTTTAAGTCTGTTTTGATATTGTAATACTTTGTTATTAGGGAGTAATTTGGTGCAATTTCTTTAGAGGATAATTTTTCAGTGGAGATATGAAAAATATAAGTGTACATACCCTATGACCATGAAGTCCTCTTCTAGGAATTTGTCTACTTCCACAAGTGTGCAAAGATGTCTATTCATGAGCGCTCACTGTAGCATTATTTGTAATAACAAAACCTAATTAGTGATCAATAGGACACTGGGAAAATAAATGGAATACTATGCCTCCATTAAAAACAATCACGTAGGTCAGTATGTACTGATACAGAAAGACTTCCAAATATATTGTTGAATGGAAAAAAATGCGGTAGTGATTAGAGTTAAAATACATACACAGTAATACATGTATCCAGAATGTCCGGATGTGTACAATAAAGTATTTTATTATTGGGGAGTAAGACTAGGGGATGGAGGGAAGCCTCAAAGCCTAATGCCAAGATCAATCAAAAATTAGCTGACCAGCCACAGGTCAGGCGGCTCTCAAAGTCTTCCGTCCTGTTCGTTAATTATTGTTTCACATTCATTCACTGAACAACCTGGGGAATCGCTCAGGATGCCGGGAGTTACTGTTCCTCTGCAGTTTGCTGTTGATTTTTTAGAAGAACTATATAGTCTTTTAAGCAGGAACATCTTTCAGTTACTCATTTCATCATATGATACCTGTATCTCCCATTCCAGGGCTGATCAGTTTGAATTGCTTTGAGAAGAAACTTTTGAAACAAGATGTCAGTATGTAACCTCCATGAAACAACTCTGTAACACCTGTGCAAAACTGTTTTTGCTTTCATTCTGTAAGAAATCTCTAAAATTTAATGACATTTCCTGCAGGTATAGAGGAGGCTGAAATATGGGCAGTCCCTCCCCTGAAACCCAGGTGCTATTTCACCCACATTTCTCATCAGCCCTTTTCTTTTTTGCAAAAGTGTTTTTCCTAGTGATGTGTACATCAACGTCAATGATCCGTGAGATAACCAGAAACTGTGAAGCGTGAACCGGTCTGAACTCCACCAGAGCTTCACACGTCTTCTCCTTCGCTTGAGACTCAAGGACCAAGCAGCCAAACACGTCTTTTCACCTCTGAAAACCGTTAAACAGCCTCCCCACACCGACATACAGTCAAAGTCACAGTCGTCGAGGCCAGAGAGTGAAAGGCACCCAGCGGAGGGAGCAACGCGTGTCCCCGGCTCAGTGAACCCGAAGAGCTGACGCGGAAACTAACGAGGCCAAAGCAGACTACAATTCCCAGCAGGCGTAGCGGGAGCGGGGTCACGCACACGCAGACCAGACCCTAGGAATGAGGTCGCGCTGGGGGGGCTTCTGGGAGAGGAAAATGGCCGCACCCGGGCTGTGGCCAGGTATGGGCAGGCTCCTTGAGATGCCGGCGGCGCTGAGGCGCGTGAGCCGACCTTACAGCACGTTCCAGGCCTTCGCGGAGGTTCTGCGGCTGCCAAAGCAGCAGCTGACGAAGCTCGTGTTCCCGCTACAGGACCTCGAGCGGCAGCTCGTCCCGGAGTCGAAGTCCGAGCTTCACCTGAAGATCTTCGACCCGAGCCTGGAGGAGATCGCGAGGGCGGAGAGCATCTTCACGGCCACCGCCCGGAACCGCATCGAGTACCTCAGCTCCGCCGAGCGGCTGGACCACGCCCCGGACCTCCCCCGCCCGGAGGTGAGAGCAGCTGCTGCCGGCTGGTCCTGAAGGCTTGGCGGGAGTTGTGCCATCACCTGTTTCTTGTCAGCGAACGAGAGATGTTTACCAGCTTTGCGTGGATGCATATAATTATTTTAACTAAATAAGCATATGTAGCTTTAATTATTTTGGTAATGGATATAGAAGACTTTAAAAGGTTTTAAAACCCAAACTAAGCATTCAAAAAATTAACTGTCCTTTTTATCTTTTTCCTATATCATTGAGGTAGGCAGAACATGCCAAGACAAATTAGAAAAAGCGAAGAATATGAAAAGTATAATAGTTTCACAACTGAAGTAATCCTCATCAATATGTAATTTTCACCCAATCTAAATTTCCTATCATGTGCAAAAATGTATAGAGAGATGGCAATAATGTAAAAGATTTTTAAACACAACTTGAGTGAAATTTGCTGGGTGTGCATTTTATGCGTGTCCTGCAGTTTAAAATACTTTGTTCTCAGTCTGCTAAAAGAAGTCTCAGATTTTCTTACGTATTTGCAGTAACTGCACCACTGCACTGAAACTTTTCTTATAATATATTTAGAACTGCTCTAATAATTTAAAAGTACATGAATCATTTAATAATTTTCAGATAGCATCGCTTTTCAATTGCAGCTTCTAAATAACTGGACTTTTTGTGTAATTTGTTTTTTAAAATTCGGTTTTATTATCTCTCTATTATCATTAGATTTAATCTGGCAGGGCATTTGAAACTTATTCAGGGCTCAGATCAATTCATTTTAAGGACTGACCCAAGTGTTGCTATAAATAGTATCCCTGGCCCCTGCCCACTAAATATCACCCAATCATATTGATAACCAAAAACTGCCCTTAAAAATTTCCAAAACACTCCCCAAGGGGCAGTACTGCCCTCATTTAGAACCACTGATTGGTATTGTACCCCCTTCAATATTATGTTAAAAAGCAGACCATGTATGTTAATGGTTAGTATCGAATATTTTGTTGCTTTTTACATTAGAGGACTAAAGGAGAAAGGCTTAATTGGAATGAGAGAGATCAAGCGAAAGGAATAACCTCTTAATTTACAACGGTATTACAGTGTACTCTGAGAGTTTGTGGTTCCAAACCCGTGGTTATACTTCAGAGCTAGTTTTGTTGAAATGCATCTAGTTTTTAACTTCAAAAAGCTTTATAAATATGGAATGCTTGCAGATATTCTTGAGTAGCATAGTGTAATTAAAAGCAGAGATTTTGGATGTAGATGTCCTGAGTTCAGATTCCAACTCCTTCACTTTCTAGCTGTATAATTTTGAGCCAGTTATTTAATCTCTCTCTGCCTCTAGTTTTATCATCTGTAAGATGGGGATAATAATATTACCCACCTCACAGGGGTGTTGTAAAAAGCAAATAAAATATATGTTAAGTGCTTAGAACACTACCTGGCACATTGGAATCATTCAGTAGATGGTAGCTGTATGTTAGAATTTGAGGTTTGACTAAACGTAAGCCACTTTTTATGGCTAAGCAAGACTGAATAGGTTGACAGATTTTTGCAGCTAATACGACATACAACATGTAATTTAAAAAAATATATAAACCAGTACTCAATTATCTTCTTTTTTCTTGTATAAGGTGTGTTTTATAGGCAGAAGCAATGTTGGAAAATCTTCTCTAATAAAGGCTTTATTTTCACTGGCCCCAGAGGTTGAAGTCAGAGTCTCCAAAAAACCGGTATGTTGAAATTTATATGTCTGAACTATCTCTGAATTGACTAAAATGAATAATAAATGTTGGGAGGTACCAAAAATCATAATTGCTAAGTTCCTAGAAAGTAATTCTTTCAAACAAGTAGTAAAGTAAGACATTTCGTTAATGCCTGTGTATTTCTCTGAAGAAAAGGAAGGGTCTGGATTTATTTTAGTAAGGTCTAGCCAGTATCTTGAGGAAATCTTCTTTGGTCCAAATCTTTGCCAAAGAGTTGTTCTGTTGTCATTCTATATTTGCTTCTATGAGAATGATCATCTAGTTCTACGTTGATTTTAGAGGAAACAGCCTTCAAGTGTTTTTTTTCCTCCTATAATCTTATACTTTGCTAACTCATATATACACACCAATCAGGCAGTCCCCGGTTTACCCAGGGCCAAATTATGTGCTTATTATCTCAGCCAGTCTGCTGTAGTAGCTTTCTGTCATTTTCTGATTTTCTCTACTTCCTTCTCAATGACGCACTCTACCAATATCTAAGGTACCCTCTCCTCAAAAGTCACCCCCGGTTCCCCTCACCTTATCTATCCATGACAAAACGTTCCCACACACCCAGTGCTCACTGCCGCCCTTTCCTTGCCTTGGAATACCTTCCATGAGGTTTCACTAGTCTTCTCTTGCTCCCCACTTCTTCATATAGTTGTTTCCCGTGGCTTGATCACTGATGATTGTTATCATTCGTTAACCTTGCTATCCCTACTCCTGCCCTGCCTCACCAGATGACCCAGCTAAAGGCTCACCTCCAGGTAGGGTGGTTCCCTTCCTACTGTGAGAGGACAGTGGGAGAAATGGATTCTTGACATTCCTAATCTGTAATTCTAAAATCATTTTCCTACAGATAGAGGCATAAGCTGACTGGGAACCTAAGCACCATTTATAAATCTTTCCTCTGAAAATATTTGTTCTAAGTTCCAAACAATTGACTTTTAAAATTGTTTATCTTAATCTTTCCTTTTCTGATTAATAAATGTCTGTGGACACAAAACCATGAATAAACCACTTTTTATCATCTTTGTGTCAATTTTAGTTACACAGATATAGTGTTGTATGTGTTTTAAAAAAATGTTTTAATAAAAGCACTAAAACCCATCTAATGAAACATGCAAACGTCTTGATTTTAGGGGAGCAATAGTCTAGGCGTAATAAACTATCAGGCTTTACATCTAGGTTTTATGAAAACCTGTAGGACTGATGGTAAGCATTTAATTTAACCTATTTGTGCCATAATTCATTTCTCTTTAAAGTGGAGATATATTATTCATCAGAGAATATTGACAAATGCAGTCACACCATTTAGAACAGGGTTAACTTTTTCACTGAGAGAGGACTAACAAAATAGGAAAGACTTGAAAATGTTTTGCCTGCATATTTCTAATATGGAATCTAAAGTTTTTCTTAAGTCATTTAGATTCTCTTAGGAAAAAAATGAATTGGATGGAAGTAGTAGTATACATCTAAGCTTATCTCCAGCCACTTGCCTTCTGTCTTCTTTTCCTGTATCATCATCAGCATAGCTAGGATTATATACAGAATACTTAGGCTTTTAACAAATATTTGTTGATTGAGTAGAAAATATTTTGAGTCATGAAATATATAAAGGACATATTTTAAGAAAGCTTTTATTTTTCCATTTACTTTATCAGGGGCACACAAAGAAAATGAATTTTTTCAAAGTTGGAAAATATCTTACATTGGTGGACATGCCAGGTTATGGCTATAGAGCACCTGAAGATTTTGTTGACATGGTAGAGACCTATCTAAAAGAACGAAGGAAGTAAGGAAAAAATTTTCTTATAATAATTATACATTTAACCCAAAAGCATGTTTTCCTTAATTGAGCATTCTACACATGATGAACACTTCAATTTTATCAAATGACTTCTTTTAGAAAGTCCATTTTATTCTCATAATATTCTCCAGTACAATATTTAGGACAAAGGTATGTACTGCTTGCTTAGTTTTTTCCTGTAGGTTAGCTTAATCTTAAATTCCAGTGTTTTCCTAAATTGAGACTATAAATAGTACTTGAGCAGAATTTATTAATTTTTTATACCAAACTCTTAGCTGGCTGGTTTTGAAAATGAAAATTCTTGGTTAATGTGGTATTTACCGGATTAAATGAACTTCAATAAATTCTGATCCTTCTTAAAATACTTCTGACATCACATCCTCTGTAAGTCTTACCTTTTTATTGTCTCCATAGGTAGTCAAGTAGCAGTTCTATGTTTCAAGCCTTGCGTGATATGTAGAAAAATTAATGTTCAACTTTTGAAGTGTAAAAAAGTATTTACAAGTATCTTGCTTGTTGTAGCTTTACATAGAAACTAAGATGAAATATTTACACAAGAAAATACAAAATATAATGTGTCTGGTTTCTGTTGTCTGTTAGTTTTAAAGTAATATTTGAAAATTTAGACATTTTTATGATAACTTATAGTTAATTGGGTTCATGTCTCTTTATCTTACTAGAGTTCAAGCTCTTAGAGGAAGGGGCTCACTCATCTTTGTATCCAGTCCCAGGCAGAGTGTCTTATGTTCAATACATGCTATTGAAATAATATTTAGTCAGTTTAGTTATTGAAAGTAAACAGCATCGAGACCTATTGGACTGTAGGAGAGGCTTTTGGTAAATTGAGAATTCCTTTTGCCTAAAGAAATTTTTAAATTTTGGGTTGAGAATTATTCAAAGGGAAATTTCTTAGTATAGTGAGGGTCAGAGGGAGAAATGAATGAGTGTATTTTATATTGCCATTAATCTTCATTTTTGCATTCTTTTAGTTTGATGAGAACATTTTTGTTAGTGGATAGTGTTGTCGGAATTCAAAAAACAGACAATATTGCCATAGAAATGTGTGAAGAATTTGCGTTACCTTATGTGGTAAGTATTTCCTTTGAATCATGCTTGCAATTAGAAATACCAGTTGTGTGTGTGTGTGTCTGTGTGTGTGTGTGTGTGTGTCTTTTTAATGAGTGAGCAGGTCTTGCCTCCTCAAGAGATAAAGGAGTACCTTTTGAATAATCTTTTTGGTTATCAGCCATTAATATTAAAATAAGTTCTTTGGTACTTTTATTCTCTTTTCCTTCTCTCAGCTTTAAGTTTTCGAAATTCTAGTCAAAGTTTTTTTAAGCTGTTCATTTAGTGTTCCTAAGTGCTTTTATGTTTTTTGTTTATGGTAATATAAATATTTATCTAAAATGTGTTAGTAGCTCTTTAACAGCAGCTTGGCAGATAGTACTTATCAGAATGTAAATAAAACTGCAACTGAAAAATTTGCTAAACTAATTTGGAATTTAAGAACCATTATAGGAACATAGCAGGCAGGCTCCAGCACACACAAGTAGGATTTTTACATTCTTAAAGAAAACAGAATTTCTTCCAAGAATATCTTACCAGTGTTCTTTCTGTTGTTTGCCCTAGAATAGAATACAGATTAGTAGGTTGGTACCCACATTTATTTTGCTTTGTGAGTTTTCCAGATAAAATAGCACTCTTAAAGTTCCTTTCAAAGGAAAAGTGAAGAACCCATTGATTATGATTTGGTTTCAAAAAAATGTCAGAAAACCACTAAAATGTAACAGTGGAGTTTAATGCAAATCAACATGTTAGTGGTTAGCAACTTTTTTGTATTCCTGGGGTTATGGAATGCACGGGGTTTGCAAAAGCCCGGTGAAGTAGTAGAGATAACTTACAGTCACGAGGAGCCAAAGGATTGATAAACATAGTCTGCATGGTAAAAAATGCCCAAACATTGCCAAACTGGTTTTATTAAGTGATAGTATTCCTGATTTAGTATCATAGGTACCAGCTTGTGAAATCATGTATTGTCCTCAGTTTTAACTTTAAGGAAATATTACTTTCTTCTCTGGAAAAGAGATTATGATAGAGGAATTATATCTCCTTTTAAATATAGGCATATCTGCCTTTAGGAGGAAAGACTCCCATTTGGAGGGATTCACAGGTCATTAGAAACCATGCTCTTTCTGCCATTAACATTTTTCATAACTCACAAGCATAAATGATTAGTCAGGAAATTTAATGTTATAGAAATTCCCAAGGAAAACCTGATAGATCAAGGTTAGTTTTTAATTGATTTTCTTATCATCCATGCCTTGACCTTCTTCTAGTAGGAAATTGTCTTTGAATGAGTAAATTATTCAAAGTAATTATTTACTAGTAAGACTAGTAAATTCTAGGCTTACTTGGAATATAACTATATATAACTTGGGATCCTTATAACCACAGTGGATACAGCCGACAAATAGCCTAATTTCTGATTTTTCCTTTACATTATTGCATACAAGGCGGAACTATTTTGTAGGTCAAAAATGATTATAAGTTGGCAATTTTATATGGATCAACGTAATAATACTCACTTATATATCTTAGACCATATAGTGGTATAGATGGTATATATAAGGTGATATAGATCACCTTAGTGATCATATAAAACATTTGGCTTATGGAAATTGCAGATGTGGCTCCAGGGTCCTTTTCACTGGTCTTGAATCCATGATAGGGCCATGTGTAGTTAAAGCACCGTTAAGCAGCAAACACAGTCTATGCTTTATATATTGCATACCTTAACTCACTTAATCTTCACAGTAACTCCTTTAGGGGGTATTGCTTTTAATTTATAGATGAAACAAGTACAGAGATTAAGAAACTTGCATGGGTCACCTAGTTGTTATTGAAAATTTGTAGCTAAAATGAGTAAACCATATATTAAGAAATACTTTATTTCTGAGCCAGCCCTGATGGCCTAGTGGTTCAAGTTTGGTGTGCTCTGCTTTGGCAGCCCAGGTTCAGTTCCTGGTCATGGAACCACACCGCTCGTCTGTCAGTAGCCATGCTGTGATGTTGGCTCACATAGAAGAACCAAAAGAACTTAACAACTATACACAACCATGTACTGGGACTTTGGGGGCGGGGGTGGGGGAGGAAGAAAAAAGGAGGAAGATTGGCAACAGATGTTAGGGCAAATCTTCTCCTGCAAAAAAAAAAAAAGTACTTTATTTGTAATGCTTAAATATTTGTTTTCTTACAGATGGTATTAACAAAAATTGACAAATCTTCCAAGGGACATCTTTTAAAACAAGTGCTTCAGATCCAGAAATTTGTTGACACTAACACACAAGGATGTTTTCCTCAGTTGTTTCCTGTGAGGTAAGAGTTGCATTGTTTTTGTAACTTTATGTAGTAACAACCTTTAATATTAAATCAGTGTTTCTTAAATTGAGGTACTACTTAAAATTAGAAGAGTTTGGAAGATTGTGCACTTAGCCATGATTTATTAGGTGATAAGCTCTTTGACATTGGTCTTGGTGATGAGGTTTTGGATCTGACTCCAAAAGCAAAAATAAATAAATGGGACTACATCGAACTAAAAACCTTCTGCACAGCAAAGGAAATCATCAACAAAATGAAAAGGCAACCAACTGAATAGGAGAAAAATGTTTGCAAATCATGTATCTGATAAGGGGTTAATATCTGAAATATATATATATAAAGAACTCAATAGCACAAAAACAAGGCAGGTAAAAAATGGGTAGAGGATCCTGAATAGACATTTTTTCAAAGAAGATACATAGGTGGCTAACAGGAACGAGAAAAGATGCTCAACATCACTAATCATCAGGGAAATGCAAATTAAAACCACAGTGAGATATCTCATGCCTCTTAAAATGGTTATTATCAAAAAGATAAGAAATAACAAGTGTTGGCAAGAATGTGGAGAAAAGGGAACCCTTGTGCACTGTTGGTGGGAATGTAAATTGGTACAGCCACTATGGCAAACAGTATGGAGGTTCCTCAAAAAACTAAAAATAGAACTACCATATGATCCAGCAGTTCCACTTCTGGGTATTTATTGAAGAAAACAAAAACTAATTCAAAAAGATATATGTACCCCCATGTTCACTACAGCATTATTTTCAGTAGCCAAGATATGGAAACAACCTAAGTATCCATCGATGGATGAATGGATAAAGAAAACGTGGTATATATACACAATGAAATACTATGCAGCCATAAAAAAGAATGAAATCTTGAAAAAGAATGAAATCTTGCCAGTTGCAACAACATGGATGGACCATGAGGGCATTATGCTAAGTGAAATAAGTCAGACAGAGAAAGACAAACACTGTATGATCTCACTTATATGTGGAATTTAAAAAACAAGAAAAACAAGCTCATAGATACAGAGAAGACATGAGTGTGGGGTGGGAGAAAGGGGTGAAGGGGGTCAAAACGTACAAACTTCCAGTTATTTTATAAAATAAGTCATAGGGATGTAATGTACAGCATGGTGACTATAGTTAATACTATATTGTATATTTGAAAGTTGCTAAGAGAGTAGATTTTAAAAGTCCTCATCACAAGAAAATAACTATTTATGGTGACGGATGTTAATTAGACATTGTGGTGATCATTTCACAATATATACAAATATCGAATCATTATGTTGTATACCTGAAACTAATGTCATATGTCAATTATACCTTAATTTTAAAAAAATGAACTTCTGGTCTGGGAAATAAAAAGCAAAAGAGTAGATACGGTGAAATTAGAGTCATGAAGCAAACAGATCAGATAATGCGGATCATCAGATTTAGAATACTACAGGAGGCTGGGGCGGAGAGGAAAGGTAGGACAGATTAAGATGTTGTTTCATACATGGAGCTCATAGAGTTTGTAAACAGTTTTTTAAATTAGATGAATTCAGATGTGTTACTGCCTCTGAAGTGAGGAAGAAAATGATTTTTCTTTTCTTTTCACAGTGCTGTGACGTATTCTGGAATCCATCTGTTGAGATGCTTTATAGCAAATATAACAGGAAATCTTAAGACTGATGGCATCCAGTTTAGCTGAAGATTCAAAATTCTTTGTGCCAGTTGGAGTTAAACACCTAAGTTTCAACATTGTTTTAAATGTTGTGTATCTGTAACTTGCCGAAGGATCACTTCAGCTTTCTTTTTTTTGTTTGTTTGTTTTTGGTGAGGAAGATCAGCCCTGAGCTAACATCCATGCCAATCCTCTTTTTGCTGAAGAAGACTGGCCCTGGGCTAACATCTGTGCCCATTTTCCTCTACTTTATATGGGACCCTGCCACAGCATGGCCTGACAAGTGGTGTGTCGGTGCGCGCCCAGGATCCGAACCTGGGCTGCCAGCAGAGGAAGGCGTGCACTTAACTGCTACGCCACGGGGCCAGCCCCAGGATCACTTCAGCTTTAAAACTTGCATCTTCCTGAAGCAAGAATGAATTTATGCCTGGGGGACAAAAGGTTTATAAATGATTGGATTATGCCATTCATTAGAACATATGCTAGCAGTTTTTCCTGTTTTAACAAACTGACAAGAGCATATAGAAGTCCATAAAAGGAAAACCTGTTTACTGCTGTGTAGAGAAGGTTTGCCATGTTATTTATTGGGCTCTTGTTTTTTAAAGAAAACATCTATTATGTATATTTTTTTAAATATTAAAATGGACTAGGTAACAAGGGGCTACTTTTCTGTTAAGCACTGATAAGTAGGTTGAACATAAATGCTCTTATGTATGCCTATAATTTATCTTTTTTCTGAGTCCTTATTTAAATATAAAAGAATTATTCTTGATAAAATTTCAGTCAGTCCATGCTGGAAACACCAGTCATTTCAGGCTGGGATCAGTCACCTTCAGGTGACCACAGGATGCAGAATCAGAAGACCAGAATTCAAGTTCCAGTTCTAATATTTATTGTATGTTGGATCTTGGGCAAGTTACTTGACTTCTCTGAGTTTCATTTGTAACTAACCTCACAAGCTGTGAAGATTACAATGATATTATGTGTGACAGGGACATCTGCATATTCTGCATATTTGTAAAGCAAAACCAACCCAGGGATACAGCAAAATTCACAGGTAGGTTTATCACAGAAAACATCCTGTCATGGAGGAAGTAACATTTTGCCTACTGAAAGATAAAAAACAAAAACTAGTTTTAAGTGAGAAAACTGATTTGCAAAGGGCAAGAGAAGAAAGTTGTTAGGACAGTTTAGAATTGGCACGTTGAGATTCAGAATGGAAAGATAAAGCCTTACTTTGAACTAAAGTTAATGGAAAAGATTTATGACCTGTTCATATAAGTGGCTTAGCTTTTCAAAGTAAGGCTGAGTATTAAAAGGTTATAGCGATAGTGCTGGATAAAAAATCAAGGCTGTAAAACAATTTTGTGGTTTTTTTAGAAAATTCAATTCTGAATATATTTTCAGTTGTTTTATAGTTGATAGTGCTGGTCATTTCTAACCAGCAGGGTTAACCTAAAAAACTTTTTATACAGGCATTCACAAAGTAAAATATATGGTGACAATAGAATTATCTTAAGAAGTCATCCTTCTGCCTGCCAGTATTGCTTTACTGCTTCTCTTAGTCTTGGTTCTCCTAAAAGCAGAGCCCAAGGCAAAAGCTTGCACACAGTTTGTTTGGGAAGTGATCCCAGGGAACAGGAGTGATGGAGAAATGGAACAGAAGGGAGGGAAGCCAATCAAGGCTGCATTGAGTTGGACACCAGTTTTGAGGGACCTTCTGAGGAGCTTTATAAAATGTACCTCTGAACTGTCTTTGAATAGGGGAGAGGGCAGCCCCACACCTCTCCCAAGCTGTACATGCCCAAGGGCTAGGCAGTTCCTGCAGCTCATCAGAAGCCAGCAGGCAGGAAGTGAGGTCCCTGGAGCAGGAGGTAAGGCGCAATTGTCCAGTCCTACTTGAAACTGGGGCCACTGTAGTTGCTGAAGAAAGAAGGCTAAGAGGATTTGAAGTGACACATGGGAGGTCTCACCACTCTTAGAGATGATCTGAGTGTTCTAATGCCACCAGAAGTGATAAAATTGGTATTCACTATGATGATAGTAACAGTTTCTAATCTAAGTTGTGGTTTTGTATATTTTAGATTTCACTTTTAAAAACTTAAAACAGGGCCACCCAGTGGTTAAAGTTTGGCGTGCTCCACTTTGGCGGCCCCACGTTCAGTTCCCGAGCGTGGAACCACAGCACCTGTCTCTCAGTAGCCATATTGTGGTGGCAGTTCACACAGAAGAACCAGAAGGACTGACTTACTACTAGAATATACAACTATGTACTGGCGCTTTGGGGAGGAAAAAAAAGAGAGGGAGAGGAAAATTGGCAACAGATGTTTGCTCAGGGTGAATCTTCCCCAGCACACACACACAAAAAAAACTTTAAATATTTGAATTGAAATTGTTTGGGAAAATTAACTGATATAGAATACTACATTCCTTATAAATTATCATTTTGTGGACACGTGAAACTTTTTACTATTTTTCCCAGAATTGTAAAGGGCAGGAGATGGGAGAAGGAGATGAAAAAACTTACTCCAAAGGAACATTAATGAAGTAGAAAAAAAATGCTAGGCTTATAGTCCAATCCAGGCTTTATAGTTTTACCTCCTTGGACAACTCACCGAGCCACTCTGGTTTTTCCAATGAGGGATAACCTCCAAAGTCTCTTTGAACTGTAAAAGTTTATGATTCTTGAACAATAATGCCACTTCACATGAAGGAACCTAAGCCCAGGGAAACTGACCAGCTCAGGGGAGTCATGTGCAAAGAAAAGTAGAGGCAAGCCTGGACCTTAAATCTTAGAATCTTAGCAGCTGATGGCCATTTCTAGACTTGTCATGAATGAGATCTCCTTGATATTGTCCATATTTTAAGGCACTAAGTAGCTACTACCACTTGGTAGGAAGCCAGGAGGAATATAAATGAAAAGTGACTAGAGATTAAGAACTCAATTAAAACAGGATATTTAGCAGGGCTTCAGGAACGAAGGAAGCTAAACCAGTGTTTATATAACTGCATTTCAGGCTATCTCCATCAAAATCACCTGGGCTCCTCGTTAAAATGCAGACTTCTGGCCCCATCTCCTGGCCAAATCTCTTCGGAAGGGACTGGGAATCTGCATTTTTAAACAACACACCAGGTGATTCTCAAAACAGCCTAAAGTGTGAGAACTACTAGAACAGATAAGTGGGAAAATGTGCAGAGAGCAGACAGGGAACGAACAAGGCCAGATAAACAACAGAAAGAAAATAAAATGGTAGGATGGCCAAGGAAAAGAAGGATGCAGTCTATACTAGGGTACTGTTTTATTTTTCTATAAATCTGTATATAACATAACACTTAAGGCTACAGCCTACTTAAACAGAAGCTTATTAACCTAATTCTAGTAAGCTAGAACATTTGAAAGATACTTCAAACTTCATGTCATTATTTGAAGATTTACCCTCTCAGAGCAACTGTATGAGCAACATACAAATATCAGATGATAGCATCAGCATGCAAGTATAAATTTATGTTTAGCATCATTCCTGGGTCTGTTTTGTCTCTCCTAGCTTTATTTTTCCATTTAACTTTCTCACCTACTTCTACTTTGTTATCCTGTTGTATTTCATGTATAACTATAAGTCACCATATATCCTTTTTCGAAAAAAGTTTATTTGGAATCATCCCCTAGCACCCAATAAATAAACCAAAAAACCCACAAATTTCTGGAAAACTCCAAAGGCATTTCACTTTGCCCTCCTATGAGAAAAGGTGAACAAATGAAGTGAAATAGTGATTATGACCACTCCTAGGTAATACAATTAGTCGCAAAACTTTTGAGTCCCTTTGATGATCAATTCTAATATGGAAGCGAGACAGCATAACCATTAGAAGCTACAAACCTTGGTGTTCAGAGGTGGACTAACCTACCACAGAACCAGTAAGGCTAAAGTGAGCTTTTAGGTGCTTTCTTGCTACTCTCCACACTGCCCCCCCAACCCGCCCCATTTACCTTAAAGCACAAAGTAGGTTTTTTTAAACTTAATTATTCGGGTCTTAATTCCCTGTTAAATCATAAAATTATTCAATTTTTCAGGGAACTACCAGCCTCAATCAGAGTATTACATCTGCTTTTCAAGGGCAGGATATGGTAGATTTTCCATCTTAACACTTGGCACGTAGTCAAGTCAAAATTTGACTAATTCATAGTCAAATACTTGTCGATTAAATGACCCAAAGCTCCTATAAATGTTTGTTGAACTGAAATGACTTTTCTGCCATACAGTGTTGCACTAAAGCAGCTCCTCTGAGTCCCAGTGGTACTTCCAGATCTTTCCAGATCTCAGCAGTTCCACTTAAAACAGCAGGACACTGGACCAGTTTGTTAATCACTTAAAAGTCTCACATATGAGCATCTAAACTCCCATTAAAGCAAAAATATCATCAATGTCATCTGTCTCCTTAACGGTTCCTGATGTATTATGTTTGTTTATTTGTATCAATGTCCATGAATCAGCTTCATTTTCACTGCTTCCTGTACAATTTTCATGAATTTGTTTCTCTGGAGTTTGTATGACAGGATGTGAAACTCTGCTACTCAAGACCTGCTTACTGTTAAGGTAGAGATCAGTTCTATGAACCGTACAGTGTGCCCGTCCCCATTTACTGGTATCAGTAGCACTCTGAGTCCCCTGAGGGGACTGGTGAATTTCCTTTAAAAGAGTCGACTGCAGCTTTCTCGGTGGTTTCCTCTCTCTCAGTAAAAATTTATTCTGTGATCTTCTTTGTCTCAGATGATGCTTTGAAGTCTTGATACCTGAGCCACGAAGAAGGCAGTTGCAAATAGATGTTTTTATGCACGCTAATTTCTTTGGCAAACTTTAAAGGACAGAGAGAAAGGAAAAAGTCTGAGATTGTTAAGATGCAGAAAAACATTCTCAAAAACTTTTGTCTCCTTTTTACTGACTTCCAACCGAAAAGTACATTATTTATCTGTAAGTCCAGTGCTTGTGTACAACCCCAAAATCATAATGAAAAATAAGGAAATAGGAGCTTCAACCCACATCTGTGTGTCCAGAGCACACCTTCCCTCCAATTCAGGTTGTAGGCAAATGTGTCCCCATTATGTTCCCAAAGTAAAATAGCTCCCACAACTGCCTCACAAGGTAGCTGAATGCTGAAACACCTCCATACTTCAGTGTGGAGCTTTTCACCGATAATTGCTAATCTGTTCATAATGGAATAGGAGTGGACCTGGGGAAAGGATGTATCACAAACAGAAAAATCTGCCAGGATGCATTAATCCATTTCTGGATGAACAGCTTCATGTTGTAGAAGGAAATGAACAGGAAAAAAGAATAAAAGTGAAGAGGGAGTGTATATAAGAATGAGAACACAGGCTTCTGGCATAGACAAACTGACAGCCTTGAGCTACCCTAATTGTGGTTTATATATCATCTTCAAGTATGGGAATTCAGAACTCAGAGCTGATTATTTTAGGTGCTTTGCTTCTGAATAGGGTACACTGCCACAAGGGACATCAAATACCATGCTAAATGCCTCACTGTGACTGTCAGATTTCAGAAGATTAGCATGGGTCTATAATTCCTATCCCACCACCCTCCCCTCTTCCGTTTTAAACAAATATAGAACTTTGAGAAGCCCATTATAATGTAGTAATTCATGATCTCTGTTTCCAAACCTTTTTCTTACTATAAGCAGTGATTTTTAAGTGGGGAAAGGGTAGGTGTACCTCCTAACTGAAATGGAAATAGAAAGAATGAAAACAGAAGAATCAGAAGATCTGAACTGAATTCTAGATCTCCAGCTCTAATACCCTGAGCAAAATCCTTATTTCCTCATCTGTAAGATGGGAGTGATACTGCCTACCTGACAAGAGTTATTATGGACATAAGTAAATTTAAAATGTATTACAAATATATAACTGAAACCTCAAAACAGGGCAGTCTGCAACAGCATTATATTTTTGTGGGGTACAGAATAATGGTTTAACCAAATAAACACCAATTTGTTACCCTTCTCATTAACTCTTAATTATTATCGTCTCTGCCTCATCTACCCCTGACTTTAAACCCAACCTCGAACAGAACAGCTCAGGCTGAGTTTCCACTCTAGAATAGATCCCTTTTAGATGGCTACAGGCCTTTAGGGGACCCCAATGTAAAAACCTTCCAGCAATTCATTCTTTAGGAGTACTTAACTTCTCCCACTGCTGTTAATCAAAACTTTTTGCAAAACCCTCACTACATATCAAATTCTTTACTAAAATGGGAATATCTTTTCCATAAATTTTAAAAGAAAATTTAACAAATTTTAGACCAAGTGATTCACCCAGGAGAACCATTCAGAAAGCCCTCAATAGATACATGTCTATACCTATAGATAAGAAATTATGGTGGATGCACAGAATATTTCTTGAAGGATACATAAAAACCTGGTCAGAATGATTGCCCCTGTGAAGGGGTAATAAGGCATCTTTGTAGCCATGTGTGTCTGAAATTGTTACCATGGGCATCTATTATTTTTTATATATAAAACCTCCAAGTGTCTCACTTCATGTATTGTTTCAAGCAATACTTGCTCACAATCAAAGACGACCATCCTTAAACAGTTCTACGAATGTTAGAATTACAGGAAAACAAAAAATCAATACACGGAGAGTCTAAGTCTAGCTCCTGTGAATGACCTGAGAACAACTCTGACCCCAGAGTCTGATGTGTGCCTTTGTGGGAAGCAGGCACTTTCTGCTTCTGCTCTCACCCTTACCGTGCTGGGCTGAAGCTCTGGGCAGGCTGGCCGTCTCTCCAATTAGAGCTAAAGCTCTGCGAGGACCGAGTCTGTCTCACAGCTGTATCCCCAGGCTTAGCATACCATGGCACTCCTAATGCTTTCTGAACCAACGGACGGAATGGTGAGGAGGATAAATGAATAAACCCAATTAACCAGGTTTACTTTCTTCTTCCCAGTGATAACAGCTTTGCCCAACAAAAGCAGCAAACAAAACTGCAGTTTGAGTAGATCCCACTTTTATCCCCCTCGGGCTACTGGACACTTCATTTTAAAGAAAGCTGACTTGACTACATAGACTTTTGCCCTAAATGACAAGAGAAAAAGTAAAGGAATATAATTTTTGTAATATACCCACCTATAGCCTTGAGCTTCCACATGTTTAAGCCGGTTACTTTTAAGAAGTTTGTTACCCAGAAAGGTGGCCTGAGCTCTGAGTTTTTTGCTCCTGCTCCAGCGAATCGCCATTTGGATTTCTTCAGAAAGCTGTAGAAAAGTCTGAGCTTCTCGGAATCTTTGCACAAAACTTTTGGCACAGGGAGTTCCTATCGCCTTCTGAGAAGAATATTTGGTTGCCTTTAGTTTGGATTTAGAACAACTGAACTCAAAGTTGGTTTCCTGAAATATGGAAAGGTGAGAAAAATGTATTGGATTTGTTACTGACTTGTAAATATATGACAACAGAGAAAAGTTGACTCATAGACTATCAAAATTTGATAATCCATCTTTTTAAAAGAAGGAAAACTTTTTTTAAAGCTCATTGTGCTTTCCTTTTGTCTTAAAAAACTTAATTTTTTATCTACTGCTCCTAACACAAATTTTTTTTTTTCCCTCTGTGCTACAACAGATCCCATGTGTGGCTGAATTCAGCTGTACACAGGAAACTTAATATAAATATTCTAACACATATCTATTTAACCTACACAAAAGAATAAAACTCCACATGATTAAATATTGGTCAAAGCCTATCTGATAGGAAAAAAGTCACTTTAGAGCCCTTTTCCTCTACACTACTGGACTATCACAACTTGTTTTTCACTTATTTCTGTGACCCTGAGTCACCCTCCTCAATGATGGGTCGTAAATGTTACTGAAAACGTGTGAAGATAGGGATAACTGCTGAACATATGTTAAAAGTGCTTAACTGAGCAACATTTCTAATTCCAATTCAACCCTCTTGATGTGGCACCTTTGTCTCTTTAACCCCATCTTTCTATATAAAGTCAAGTTTGAATTTTAACTCTTACTGTTTATGAAAATATGCCACCTACTAGGTCTGCTTCCATCCTTCATTCAAAACTTACCTTCTTCCAAATTTCTCACCCTCAAGAAGAATGTAAAAAAGTACAAAGTATAAAAGTAGAGACCTATCAATACTTTGTGTTGGTGATTGATAAAACAAGGTTGACCTAAAAGCAAGCTGAGCATATTAGTGCTAATTGCTAAAAATGTGGTAGTTATTAGTCAAAAATAAGAGGGAAGCTGACCAACCAGCTCACCTAGGAACAGGTGGACGGACTGCAGAAGTTTCAAGGGTCACCGAGATCATAGTTCTTGACACAGAGTTGACAAAACTACTTTGGAGACTGGTATAACGGTCAAGAACAAAGACTATGAAACCAAACTGCCTGCCTTCAAACCCCAGCTCTGCCTTGTATTTGCTGTGTGGCCTGAGCAAGTTTCTTGTCCCTTCCATGCCTCAATTTTCTCATCTGAAACATGGAAACAATAATAATAGCAGCTACATCACAGGGCTTTTGCAAAGAATATATGAGTTAACACATATAAAGTGTTTCAAACAACGCCTGGCAAAGAGTAAATGTAATATAAGTATGAGCTATTATTATTACTATTACTGTTATTATTATTCCTCCCTCTGGAACTCATGAATTGGACAGAATATAAACACAAGCTGGAATCCTTGTAAATGTTCAAAAAAGTACTCGCACTTATTAGAAATGATTACGAATTCTTAAACAGAATGGAAGAAATAACCCATGAAGGAAACCAGAATAAGACAATTTCGAGAAGACAGAGGGTAACAGAAGTCAAGTAGTTACCAGACGAAAGGGGTGACACTGACGTACTTATCTGTTGTTAGGTCCAGAACAACAGAATTTACAGACACTGACTAAGAAGAGGAATCAGGTTAAAGCTTGAACCCTGACAGGAAGAAAGAAATAGAAGCCTCATGACAAAGGATGAGGATAATGATAACGATGATGAAAGTAGCTAATAACATCTAACACCAATTAATATGCTTATGCACCAATGTGGAGTATGCTTACCATACTCCACACTCTGTGCTGAACACTTTACATGCACTAAAACTGGCACATCCCTATGAGGTACATTCTATTATTAGAAAACAGAAGTATGGACAGGTCAGGAAGCTTACATAAGGTCACACTAGTACAAACCAAAGCCAGGACTAAACCATTTCTGTCTGACTGCAAAGCCCATACTCTTAAGCTGCAGTACAATCCACATTTACGATGGATCCTAGGGGGACTTTAAAATTCTAGCAAAACTCTTAGTAATATGTTTCTGAAGGCATTTTATTAACTGAATTAATTGGATGCACTCAGATCCCTTGGGAGTGCCTCTATGCATTTGGAAGCACAGTCTGAGAAGTACGATGGCCCTAAGCTTAGAGCTGGGGATGAAAACGGAAGTAAGATTCAACCTCTGCCCTTGGTCAGTGGACTCCACAGTTCAGCAGAAATCATAAGCTGTATTAAAATAGGCCGGACAAACCTGAACAGCCTTGTGTTTCAGCTGTTTGCAGAAAGCCCTCACATCAAATTCTGATGACTTTTCTGTGGAGATGGAAAAATCACAGATATAAAAACTTAGGCATACTATTTTCAAATCAATAAATTAAGTGCATGACATTTCTTGCCAAATTACTACAAAAGAAATAAAGGGAATTAAACAAGGAAAGAACTATGAAGCAACAACAGAAACAAACAACTTAAAATGTCCAAGCTTAGAAAATGCTGGTATTACCATACATCTCTAAAGATAATCAATGTGAGTTAAAATTAAGAAGAGAGATGTTGAATTTCTTTCTGCACAATGCATGATTGTTAATTTCAACATTTTTTTATTAGAGTATGTGCTATATCAAAGCAAATTACCTTTGAAGATTTTCTTATTCTTTACAGGCCGTCCAATGTCCACATTATTCTGTATATTGATCTTCATTTGTTTAGCTTTTTTGGAAATTCCAAGTAAAGTTTCTTCACTGGGCCTCAGTGATTGCTCTTTTGTTAAAAACAGTTTATTTAGCAATTTAGTTACTCCTTTAGCTGCAAAAGCTGTAGGCATTTTTTTCTTAAAGATTTCAAAATAGGGCTGTCCTAAAAATTCAGCAATATCAGAAGGAAAGGTGAAATCTTTGAAGTAAGGCAATGGTTGAATCCTAGAGACCTCCTGAAGCAATCCAAACAATGGCTCATATAAAGAAATCAGCCTTTTTAAAACACCTTTATAGAGAACCCTAGAGAAAAAAATAGGAGCTCATGAATTAGCCAGTAATTACAATTTGCAGATTACACAATAACCACAACAGATTCAAAGCTAAAAGTAAATGCCTACCAAATCTGCCACTATAGATGAAAATGCTATAGCACATATTTGCAAATAGCCAGGTTAGTCTAGCCCAAATAGAAAAATGAAAGTACAAAATGTTATGTAAAACCAAATAAAGTACTACATGGAGAGATGTCTCAAAGAATGTGTATCAAAACCTTAAGTGTGATTTTATCTAGGTGGTGAGATTTTAGGCAAATTTCAGGTTCTTCACATTTTTTCGTTTTTTTTTTAAATTTCTTAAAATAAACATTGTATTATTGTCATAATCAGCAAACATTAAAGCTATTTTCATTATAGAAAAGCGTAACGAAGGTTTGACATTTTATATTAATATAACTAGTAATTCTAACATTGTTACCTCTAAGAATAAGCAAAATAAAAAACAAGAACATTTGAAATAGAACTTGAGATATCTAAGTTAAGATATCAAAGCAAGGTTTTATATCTCCAAAGACAGAGAGAATTTTCTTTTTTTCTTTTTAGTTTTCATTCAGATTAGCACTAACCATCCCAATTGTTTAAAATGGCCCGAAACAGGTCTCCTTATAAATATGGGCAGATTGCGAGTCCAATTATCCAACAAATAAGTTTCATAATATATATTAAGAGATGCAAGGGAAGGTCTTTGGTTTGCAACTATTCCCAGTGTTCGTTACATCAACCGACTATCTCTCAAAGCAGTGTTTCAGGTGGAAGAAAAAAATCTAGAGCCCATAAGGAAGGCCATTAAAAATTAGAAACCTAGGGGCCGGCCCGGTGGCATAGTGGTTAAGTTTGCACGTTCCGCTTCGGTGGCCCAGGGTTTGCAGGTTCAGATCCTGGGTGTGGACCTAGGCCCTGCTCATCAAGCTATGCAGTGGTGGCGTCCCATATATAAAATAGAGGAAGACGGGCACAGATGTTAGCTTAGGTGCAATCTTCCTAAGCAAAAGAGGAAGACTGGCAACAGATGTTAACTCATGGCCAATCTTCCTCACCAAAAAAATAAAAAAATTAGAAACCTAGTGGCAGAAAGAATCAAATGATACAGCATGGCTAGGAACACTTTCATTTTAAATGAGTCAGTTGCTGTTTGATTACAGCCACCACTTTTTTTATTATTATTTCAGTTGCTAATTCTAGGAATTCATTTGCTTAATTGTTTAGTATTGAGGTGATCTCATGGCTTCAGATTCAAAGCCTAGTCTTTGGACATAACCATCAACTCTTAGCTTCCCAATCCACCCCAAATAAACTCGGATCAAATGAAGAAACGAACTCCTGCACCTTCAGCACCCCATGGAAAAGTGAATATGAAAACTACTAATGAGAAACCTAGGCTGAGTTAGAGATGAAAAAGAAATGAAAAGATTTCAAAGGTATAGACATACTTACCATAATCTGCTCACTATCCCAACCATCACAAGGTTTAAAATAATGAATTCTTGCAAACCTAGGTGTTTCACAGTCAAGCTAGAGAATCAAGTTAAAGTTGGAAAATGAAACCAAAGTGATTTGGATTTTCTAAGTTACATTTATGAAAGAAACAGATTAGAAGTAGAAAGAATTTTCTTGAAGGAATTAAAGCCTTAAAACATGTTCTATTTAAGTCATGGAAACTTAAAAATAAAGTAATACACACTCTGCTAGAGCTCTCATTATTAAATTTATTTTCCATGATGAAGAATTTCGCACTGTCAGGGGCCAGCCCGGTGGCATAGCGGTTAAGTTTGCATGCTCTGCTTCGGTGGCCTAGGGTTCACGGGTTCAGATCCCGGGCACGGACCTACGCACTGCTTATCAAGCCATAAAGTAGAGGAAGATGGGCACGATGTGAGCCCAGGGCCGATCATCCCCAGCAAAAAGAGGAGGATTGGCAACAGACGTTAGCTATGCTGGATAGAGACAGGCAGTCTCTGGCAATGGTTGTATCAGGCAATTCCTGGTAAAAGGAGGCCAAGAAGCAAAATTTTAAGAATTCCTATAGGTTATAACTCCTAGCTTTCAAACAGAAATACTGTTAAATATATCCAAACAGTTCCAGTTCAGAAGAAGGTATCTCAGTTGATTCAAGGATACAGAAATGTTTTGCAGCAACAGTCCAACAAGCGAAGCAACAACTTGCAGGCTCCCAAAATCTTCATCAACACCAGTTCCACCACTGGTTGGCTGGGGATGACACATGTTTTGGTAGCTACAGGCCGATTTCCACTTGACAAAAAAAGAAAAGTACGTTACTTTCAATCTTAAATATAAAGCACTTACATAGCAGTTTTCAAGCGCAGACTTGTTTTAAGCTCCATTTGAGGTAGTTATGCTCACTAATGACTTAGTGAAGTTGATCGACACTGATGTTTCAATATAATCTATCATGACCCAGATTTCAGTGTCACACCAGTCCCTCCCACAGGCCAACAGAGGGAGATTACCCCAAATACCAGGTGCCCTTTATTAAAACAAAATGTGTACAGCTGAGGTATAATTGGTTATATTCCAACACCAAGCACAGAAAAGTCCAAGGGGAGATCACAGCAAGACACTGAGTCCCCAGCCCCCCAGAAAGCCCATCACAAAGCAACTGGACCACTTACTTGGAAAACAACTCAGACAGATCTTGAATTGAACTCTCCAAATTCATGTTTTTCAAACGTTTTAAACATTGTTCAACCTGAAAGGGGAAGAGCAGCTCAAATCCATGTGTATATAATGCAGACAAGGCCACAAATGTGACCAGGAAACAAATCCAAAACTTCAAAGTATGGAAATACACTGAAGACCACAGAATACATTTTTTTAAGGGTAAAGAAATCCATAGCCCAAAGCAATTGCTACTGGTTAAAAATTTGAAATTCACCCAGCCAAACAGATTTCTCAAATCAAGTTATGACTGAGAATTTATTATATGCCAGGATGTGCTTGATGCTATAAAGGGGACCAAAATTAAGTATAAGATTATTCTCAAGATCAGAATTTTTCTGAAGCAACAGGATTTCTAATAGTGAAACTATTAAAACAAGATAGTAAATTATTAACTACTAAATTTCAACAGTCTGTACGTGCCACAGAGATGAGGAAAGTGATGGATTTATTCACTTCACAAATGTATACTGAACACCTACTATACGCAAGGCATGCTGGGAAATAAAATGCTATATAAAACACTTCCCAATCTCTAGTTGCTAAAAATCTAGTAGTAAAAAAAGAAGACATATAACATAATCAAATACTAAAACAAAAATACATATGCCCTATTTAAAATTGCATCCTCCCAGCACTCCCCTTTCCCTGCTTTATTTTTCTCCATAGCACTTATCACCATCTGACATTTGATTGACTGACTGATTTGATTGCCTTTCTCCTCCCAACTATAATGTGAGCTCCATGAGGGCAAAATATGTTATGTATTTTGTCCCCCACTGTAACTTAGTTACTTAGTACTTAGCACAGTGTTGAGTAAGCACTCAACAGCATTTTTTATCAAAAAAAAAAAAAAAGTTAAGAGCAACCCATTATACAAAATACAGTGAGAATTCTGTAGTCCTCAGGAAATAGCACACAAAGGGCATGCATGGACCCTCACCAGACTTTGAAGGGTGTAAAGATTTGGATGGGCACTGATACTGGAGAAGACAGTATCTTGCTAGAGCTACATATATGCTACAAAAAATTAAATCAAAGTTATTTGATCTTAACAGCACAGTTTTTAGAGCAGTGGAGGCAACAATCCTTAAATTCTCCGGGGTCTGCTGCTGTCTTTTTCAGTTTTTATTTCTGGACGCCATCCTTTGAGAGAAGTACTACAAACCAAGATGGTAAAGCAGCTGGAAACATAGCGAGCTCTGGTTCAAAACAAACAAAAGGGAAAAAAAAGACTTGAGAATTTAACAAGGAAGAGAGAATGTGGAGGAACGTAAGAACAGTCTTCCTAGACTCAAAGGATGTCACACAGAAGAAGAATCAAGACTGTTTTCTCTGCTCCATTTGCAGGAATGTTAGAGGGAAGCTAATTCCAGTACCTAGCTTTTGAAGGTAGAAAAAATAAATCTTAAAGTAGATGAAAGTTCTCTGTAAATGGTGAAATGTGAAGCAGATATAATGTGAAGCACGAGTAATGGTAACAGTAGTGGCAGCAGCAGCATGAGATGTGTTCCTACTCTAAGGTTGTGGGGAACCTAAAACACGTACACAGATGACTGTACCACAGTGCAGACTGTGCTCAATGCCAAAGAGAAGCACCAAGGGGAGGCCCAAATAGCCAAGAATCATAAAAAGAGAAGGAGTTCAACTTCTCTAATAATCAGAAAAATGTAACTTAAAGTGAGATTACCATTCTATACACTCATGTTACCCATTGGGAAGAAGTTTATCACTGCCAGGAAGGCTTGAAATGGGACTTAGAGGATGAGAAGGCCTTTAACAGGTAGAGATGGAGGGACTGGCCTTTCTAAACATACAGGCTCAGGTGAGCAAAGGCTCAGAGGAGGGAATGAATGTGGTGAGCAGGGGGACTGGTGAAGAGATCAGGTTTCCTGGAATATAAAATATATGAAGACCAGAGAGAAGCCTGAGCTAAGGAAAACTCTGAGGAGGTGAGATCATGGAAGATCTTGTAAGCCAAGCTAAGAGGTTTGGTCTTTATTCAGGAGACAGTGGAGAACCATTAAAAATCAAAGCTGTGTTTTCAGGACGATCAACCTGATTTGGTATACATGAATATGCCAGAGTGTAGGAAAGATTGAAGAAGGAAGGATCAGTCAGGACAGCAAGACAACTACAAGCTGACAAGGTCTGAAAAAAGAAGATGGCAGCCAGAACTAAAAGAAGGGACTAGATGCAGAGAGAGTTTTGACTGATCAATTGACTGAATGGGAGAGCTACATAAAAGGAAGAATCAGAGACAACAGAACACCAAATTTTTCTGACTGGATAATTATTCACAACTTAGAAGCCAGGAGGAGAAATACGTTCAATCTGAGATAACACGTTTGGTTTTGGAGCAAAAGACTAAAAAGGAGATAAAAGCTGCCCCAGATAAGAAAACTTAAGGCAAGATCATGATCCCAGATCTTTCTTTGATGAAGACATCTTCATCCTTTTTGCCTTAAGTAATGGGAGTGGAAAATTAACCAGAGATCATGAATCTGTAAGGTCAGAGACTATGTCTTTTTCACCCCTGTATAACCAGCACCAAGAAGAGTGCCTGGCACATAGAAAGTTTCAAAAATACTTGCAGAATTAATAAAATAAATGAATGAATGAATGAGCGTATAAGGAACCCAGCTTAGAAGGCTCTACTCTATGGTGTAGTCCATGAGCTAGAGGGCCCAACTTTGTTTTAAAATCCAAAAATTAAATGAAACCACTTTACACCACAACTTCTTATATACCCATTTACTCTATTACCAATTAGATTATATACCCCAAAATAAATAAACCACAACTTTGTTCTTTTTAGGATTTTAGGATTTTGATAATGCTCAGGAAATCGTTTCTTAATCCAACACTTTGGCTTAATCAAATCGCTATATCTTTGAACTAGGCAAAGGCACTGTAATTTATTATAGATTGCATATACTGAAGAAAACCTTTCATAAAAACTACTTAGCCACTAGAAACAAGACTGGGAAAGAATTAAACATAGTTCCTCTGTAAATAAACTGTTTTTTCAAATGCTTTCGGAAAAAAAAAAGGAAGAAAGAAAGCCCACATACACCTGTGAGCTGAAGACCTATAAATCACAAGTAATTTACTGAGATTTCTACAAGTAACAAAATATTAAGTGGCAGTGTGATCTCCATCTTCATCAGGTAAACATGTTGAGTCTTAAACACAGGGCTTCCTCCTTACCTGTTTGAGGGCCAGATGGGGCTTGTGGCGGCCCATTCTGTTGTGATTGCTGTAAAGGACTGCACATAACACGTCTGTTTCTGCATCTAAGGTTTGGCTCTTCAGTGACAGTGTGACAAGACAGCATTCTTTAATTACAGTTGCAATGCAAAGTTCTAAAGCAGAGAAGTTTAATAAGACTTTATATGTATCTCTAAGTATATTATATAAAGAATACACTGAAAGAAGCATCTTTCCTTATTTGTTTTAAAGAAACCAAGAACAAATTAACATAGGCCCTCAACTGTAAGAACATAATTCATTAATGATCCTAAGTATGTGAGAAGTTGGAAAATGGTGATAGATGATATAATGTCCAGGAAATCATTAAGAGAACATCTGTTAAACTAGAATGTGTGTCTTTCCATCACATTTTATCATGATTTTAACAATCTTTCATGAGTACTTTGCAGCCAGTCATTCGGTGTACACTTACACCTTAAGTAACTTGAAGGTGGGGCACGTGTTGTATACTTGTCTAAATCCTCCGTTTTGCTATGCACATAAGCAAGGCAGAATGGATTAATTCTGGATCAATTCATACTCTTAGAAGTCAAAGGTTACTGTATTTGAGTACCAATTTAGTCAAAGCTGTCAAGGAGATGATGGAGTTCATGTGTTCTCTAAGGCTCTAAGGGTAGCACTAGCATCCTAAGTGAAAGTAACACAAAGGCCGATTTCTAAATAACATGGAGAACTTTCCTATTGTCCCAACTATCTGAGGCCAGGATGGGCTGCCTTGGGGATGGGAGGATGGGAGTGAGTTGGTGAATTTCCACGCCTAACAGGAGTCCTGTTAAGGAATTTCTTTTTTTTTTGTTTATTGCAGTAACATTGGTTTATAACATTGTAAAAATTTCAGGTGTACATCATTGTACTTCTATTTCTGCATAGATTACATCATGTTCACCACCAAAATACTAATTACAACCCATCACCACACACATGTACCCAATTATCCCTTTCACCCTCCTCCCTCCCCCCTTCCCCTCTGGTAACCACCCATCCAATCTCTGTCCCTATGTGTTTGTTTATTGTTGTTATTATCTACTACTTAATGAAGGAAATCATACGGTATTTGACCTTCTCCCTCTGACTTATTTCACTTTGCATCATGCCCTCAATGTCCATCCATGTTGTCACACATGGCTGGATTTCATCGTTTCTTAAGGAATTTTCTGAAGGGAGAAGAGGGAAGATTAATCTGTAAACCGCTTAGGATGGATGAGGAGGAGGCTGTGATGACTGGATAGGTTATAAGTATTTAATGTTAATAACAACTATCATTTGAGTGTTTACTCTATCAGGCACTGTTCCAAATGCTTTACCTATAACATTAACTCTTCCATTCCTCAAAACAGCCCAGTGAGGCAGGTACGATTTTTACCCCCATTGAAAATGAGCCAAGACACAGAACGGTTAAATAATGACACCCCTCTCCCCGGCCCAGCTCCTGCAAAAGGAAGACCAGGATTCAAACCCAGGCAATCTGGCTCCTGAGCCAAGCTCCGAACTACCAGCCCTACTGCCTAGTAACGGCAATACCATCATACATTGGTAAAACACTTTAAGAGCACTTTCCCCGAAACGACATCGTTAGATCCTCCAACACCCAGTGATGGGTAAGGACGACTAACCCCATTTTACAGATAAGGAACCAGAGGCCCAGAAAGACTGTGGTTTAAGTCCAGAGTGCTTAAGTGACTGCCCCCAGCTGCTCAGAGGCAGAGGTCGGGAAAAGGCTGCAGGGTGAACCGGGCTGCCGGTGCCCTGAGCGAGCACGGGGTTCCCAGGGAGCGCTTCCTGACGCTAGCTGCGCCCGCCTCTCTGCCCCCTGGGCGCGGGGCTGGGTCTGGGCCTTCGTCGCTCCAGCCCGGCCCCGCCATAGGCACCGTGGGCTCAGTGAAGAACTGCCACGCCAGATGCGCCACGAGGTCCCTGGACAGACTCCCGAGCCCGGCCGCGTTCCCCGCACCGACCCTTCCCGGCGGCCCGCGGGCTCAGGAAGTCCCGCCCCCAAGCACGTGTGCGCCCCGGCCGGACGCCCCCTCCGGAACCGGTGGCCCCTCGCCGGCTCCTCACTCACCCAGGCCCGCGCCGGGCGCCTGCACTGTCACAGCGCTGTGGCTCCCCGCCTTGGGGATCCTCACGCGATTCCACGGCTCCGGGCCCGCCCGCGCCGCAGCCATCTTGCGAGGCGGGGGAAGGACCAAGCGGAGCGCCGTAAGGAGGGGAGAGGAAACGGGTCTGGGGAGGAGGCGGGCAAGGGGCGGGACTGTCTGCGGTCGGGGCTGCCCGGGGGCGGGGGCTGTCCGGGGGGCGGGGCTGCCCGGGGGCGGGGCTGCCCAGGGGCGAGTCCTCCTCGGAATCTCGGACCCAATACAGCGGGCGAGACCCAGATGGTCCGTCCAGCCCTGGTCTCCAGAACCTGGCCGCGTATCAGGATCACTTGGGGGAGTTTCGGGGGAAAAGCCTCATCTCAGTGCTACTCAATCAGAATCTCGGAATGGGGCCAGGATCTGCATTGTGTTTACGCTTGCTCAGAGGGGATTCTGAGACAACCGAGTTTGGAATTACTTAACCGCCTTTTACAGATGTAAACACTGAGGCCGAGAGTTGAGTTGATGCATACACCACTATCTTCGCCTCAGATATTAGGGGAAAAGGAAGAAATGAATTAAAGTGGCTTATGCAAAATGTGGCATTTGTAACGCAGAAAAAATGATTGACTTTCATCTGAGATAGTAAGCTTCTCCGTCTTGAGCAACAGCAACACCGCGATCACATCAAAGAAACTTGGAGGCCATCTGACTCTTCATCAATCCCACCCTCTATTAGTGTTCAAGACAAGACGATATTCCAAGCTCTGCTGATCCTCACCTCATTAGTATCTTTCTAATAGTTCATTTATCTTCAGCCACACTGATGCCACCTTGCTTGTCCGTAAGGTCCCCACCGTGAGGTATTAGAGAGGCAGTTAGTGGGTTTTGGAGAACAGAGCACCAACGTTCTAATTCTTAATCTGCTGTTTACTAGCTCTGTGATCCCAGGAAAGTTACTTAACTCCTCCAAACCTTAGTATCCCTAGTGGGTAAAATGAAGATAGTAGTAGTACCTACCTCACAGTGTTGTAAAGTGCTTTAGAGCAGTACCTAGCATACAAATACTCTTACTAGAATTAATATTGTTGATATTATTTCTACTTATTAATACAAGTAGCTTTGCCTTATTGAAAATGTGCTCTCTGTGAGTGCCTTTGCACATACTAATTTCTCTACCTGGGCCATCTTCCTGGAACAGTCTCCCTTCCTCAACTCTGGTGTCATCACCTCTGGGTAATTCTTCCTGAACATCCCATCCCCACTCCCTAATGATATGGAGACCCCTTTATGTACTACCATCCTGCCCTGTGTTGGCCTCTGTATTAGCTGCCTATTGTGGCTGTAACAAGTGACTACAAACTTAGTCGCTTAAAACAACACAGTTACTATATTACTTTTCTGGAGGTCAGAAATCCAAAATGCATCTCACTGGACTAAAGTCACCAGGGCTAGATCCTCTGGAGGCTCTAGTGGAGAATTCATTTCCTTGCTTTTCCAGCTTCTAGAGGCCACCTGCATTCCTTGGCTCATGTCTCCATCTTCCATTTTCAAAGTCAGTAACAGGCATCTTCCAATCTCCCTCCACCCTCTCTTTCTCTCTGTCACCCTTCTGCCTGCCTCATCTAAAAAGGACCCTGGTGATTACATTGGGCACACCAAAATAACCCAGGATAATCTCCCCATCTCAGAATCTTTAACTTAATCACATCTACTAAATCCGTTTTTCGATGTAAAGTAAGATATTCACAGATTCTGAGGATTAGGATGTGGACATCTTTAGGAAACCATTATTCAGCCTCTATACCAGAGACTCTCTTTCAGAATTCACCTCACTGTATTGGATTACTTTGTGTATTTGTATGTCTCCTTCTCCAATGGCATGTGAGCTACTGTACTACCAGTATAGCTTACTGATCTTTATATCTCAGTGCTTAGCTCAGAGCCTAGCATGTTGTAGGAGCTCAATAAATTTTTACAGCTTTATTGAGGTATAATTGCTATAAAAAGAACTGCACATATTTAATGTGTACAATTTCACGTTTGTCAATATTTACTGGCTGAATAAGAGAATAAATGATGCTTGAATAGAGTTTTTGAAGGATGAATAGGAATTGCCCAGGCAAATAAGGGAAGCCTCATTCCTGACAGAGAGTATGAGTGAACATAAGTGAGGCCATCTTGTTACACTAAATGGCCCCAGCCCCTCCTCTGTGTGACTGCTTGCTGCTCTGCACGTACTCCAAAAAATTCACATGCTCTCCTGATATATGGCCTCCACTTATGTACGTACTCCCCAATAGTTTGATAAATTAAAAACTTTGTTCTGTGAGTTTCTATCCAGGAACAGGCTGACCACAGGTGGGAAACACACCTACAAAGTATCCATCACAGCTGACAGAAGAATGGAACAATGTAATGCCTGGAGCCTGTCATGCCTGGAGAACAACATCCCTAGACTGCCTCCTCACCGCCCATTTTCCCTATATAACTGCCCCAAGATTCTGTAATCTTTGAAGATGGGTCTTTGAGACATTAGTCACCTGTCTTCTGATTTGCCGGCTAATCTAATTGAACTTCATTTCTTGGTCTCTAACTTGTTGTGATTAACTGGTTCAGATTGCAGCGAGCAGAGCGAGCCCATTGCTCGGTGTCAAGAGGTGTTAAACAACATGGACTAGAAGAATCACTAGTCCTGGGTTAGTTTTGCTGGAGCATGATGTGTGCTGAGGGATGAAGCTGGGAGTGGTGGTATTAGATTATGGGTAGAATTTGGATTTTACTTTGAAGGCCAGTGGTTCCCAAAACTGGCTGATCATAATAACATGGATAGCTTTTAAAAATAAAAATTTTCAGGACCCACTTTGGAAATTCTTATTCATTAGTTCTGAGTAGGGCCCTAATCTGTGTTTTTTAAAAGCTCCTTGTAATGGTGATCTGGACTGGGGAGCCCTTGCTGTAGGTGATAAAGAAGTTGCTGAGTCTTAGGCAGGGCAATTTTGGTCACCTTGTATCAGAGGAGGAGCACTCTGGAGAATAGATTTGAAGGAGATGAGGCTGGCGGTAAGGAGGTAAAGGAATCTATTACAAAAGCTGAGACAAGACATGTTGAAGGCCCAAATTCAAACATTGGCACCAAAGATAGACAGTATGACTTATTGAGATGTCTAGTATTTAGATATCTAGATGTCTAGTATGACTTCCAGATTTTTGCTCTGAGTTTGAGATATGGATTCAAAAGAGCATATTTAGGTAAGTGGCAGGTTTAAGGAGATAAATTTTAATATACTGAGTTTGAGATTGCCCATGGGCTGTCCACAAGAATATATGCAATTCACCGGTTGAATAAATGGGACTGTAGCTCAAAGAGTGATTGCAAAGGGAGGATGTAGAGATGATAAATATAGGAGAATGTTTTTAGATAAGAAGGGAAGACAGAGTTTATGTGGTAACAGAGAGATGCAGGATTAAGCAAGGTATTGTTTGGTTTGTTCTGATTTTAAGGATAGTGTATCAATTAGTGTTCAACCAGTCAAACAGAACCTGTAAGATATATATGTTAAGGGATTTATTGAAAGAAACTGGCTTACACAGTTGTGAGGTTGGATAGTCAAGTCTGAAGTCCATAGGGCAGGCCATCAGAAAGGGCAGCTGGAAACTCACAGGCAAGAGCTGGTGCTGCAGTCTACAGGTGGATTTCCTCTCCCTCCTTCCTGTCTCCAGGGAAACCTCAGTTCTGTTCTTAACACCTTTTAAACTGATTGGATCAGGCTCACCCAGATTACTCAGGATAATCCCCTTTACATAAAATCAACTGATTGTATCTCATAATCCGTCTATAGAATACCTTCCCAGCAACACCTAGACTACTGTTTGAATAACCTGGTACTGTAGCTTAGCCAAGTTGATAGTAAAACTGACCATCACAGACAGGAAATGATTTGCTCATACATATAGGTCAAGTGGAAGAGTGAGAGAAGCTGGACATACTAAAGAGATAAAGGGGAGAGAATTGATGGAACAAGACCCATTATTCATTCAACAAAGTTTTTGAGCATCAGCTATTTGCCAGGCACCATACAAGGGCCAAGAGGAGACAAGCAGGGACGGCATCAAGTGCTTAGGTAGAGGGGTTGACTTAAACATCAAAAAGTCTTTATTCTCTGAGCCAGGAAGAAAAATAAAGATAACTTTAGATATGGATATGTTTGGGATGGGGTAATGGAAAGATCAGGGAGCCCCAGAATGAGAGCTGCTGTGTCATTAGTGGAAGGGGATTTTCGATCATTACCAAGAGTAGAGGGTAGGGAGAAGTTTTATGAGTGAGCAGTGGATGTTTGAAATCAGAGCTTCCTTGAACTGGAGGATGTGGAAGAGGCATGGCCTATACATTAGAAAGTAAAGTTTTAGGTCCATGCTTTACAAATTTTGAGTCTGCAAAGAAACACTGCCACAAACCCAAATGACCGTTAAATATATAAAACCTTGTCCATGTCATTAGTAATCCAAGAAATAGATTAAAATTATTTTGGGGTACTGTCAAATAGACTGAGTAAAAAGCATGATGTCCCATGTTACTAGGGTTTTGGGCAAAAATTTACATACAAAGTTATCCTTTCTTGCTGTAATCATGAAAATGAAAATTGATATTATATTCACAAAATGAATCAGTTGTTTTTTAATATTTTGGCAGTGGATTTCTTTTTTTCCCCACAAAATCTTACATAGAAATCAAATATATAAAACAAGTAAAGGCAAAATTGCAGTGGTTAAGGGTGTCTGGTAGAACACAGGGCGTTTCTGTTAATGCTTCCTGCCCAGGCCCCTAGAGGTAGCTTATAAGACACTTCCTAGGAACCCACTGTTGCAAATAAATAAATATGTATTGATGTGAGCAATTTTTGATGATAGAGTAAGGTATTTTTTAAAGCAATTTAGAAAACTGTGTGTATAATCTGATTCCATGAAAAGAATACACATCTACACTTTGAGAAAAAGGTCTGAAAGGATCTAAATGAAAGTGTTAACAACGATTATCTTTTCAGCAGTAGGATGGACATTTTCATCTTCTATGAGCTTATTTGTATTTTCTATTTAAAGGAAAGAAATAAATAC